GGGCGCGCGGGGGAGAGGAGGGGAGGGGGTCCCAGCCCCGGCCACCGGCCACCGGCAGGGAACTGAAAGGTTTGCGACCTATGGGCTCATCCCCGGGCGGACCCTGCGAGAGCTCGGAATGTGCCCGTGCGTTGGGAGTGTGCAGGGGTCTGGACCTCCGAGGTGTCTAGCGGGGCCCCGCGCGCGGGTCCCAAGCCCCCAGCCCGGTTCACAGCGTTGCGCCAGGAGGCCAAGGTCAAAAAGCCCGGGGCAGGTGGCCCGCTCGGGAGGCGCCCCGGCCTCTGCAGGGCCAGCCTCGGCAGCCTTCCCTCGGGAAGCTGACAGTCTAGACTGTAAGTAAGCGCCGGGCCATTAGCAGGTAAAGCCCTCCGGGCACGGTTTGTCCGGGGACACCGGGCCGGGCGCAGGATGCAGGTGGAGCTGCGCCTTCCTGCGCGCCACCCTGGAAGACCAGGGACGCTCTTTCTCAGGCCAGTCATGAAAGGATGAGAATGGAAACGATAGGAAAAGGGCATGTGCTGTGTGGGCTGGAAGAGCAAGCGCGAGCAAGGAGGAAATATCCCCATTTCCTTGCAGGACGCCCTGTGTTTTCGTTTTACGGCTCTCATCGCGTTTTGTAATGATGTGTTTACGGGTGTGAGAGGCAGTAGAACTAGAGCAAGGCTGTCTGAAGAGTGAACTCGGGTCAGACCACCTGGCTTTGACTTCTGGGCAGCTCACTGACTTCTGACCAGCTCTGTGATGTTGGGCAAGTCACTTAATCTTTTCACACTTCAGGTACATTATCTGAACACTGGGAAGAATAATAGTTTGAGTATTAAGTGGACTAAGTCACATAAAGCACTTAGAATAGTACCTGGCACCTAATCAGAACAGTGTTAGCTGTAATTATTTGTGGAATATTTGCCTCCCCACTAAACTGTAGGCTCCAATAGGGCAGGGTCTCTGCCTCTTTTGTTAATCATTGTATGTATACTCAGCCGCAGACCCTCAGTAAATAGTGTGGAATGAACTCCTTGGGGCCCTGGCAGAGGCAATTACCATCCCTTCCTCTGTCCCCACTGTCAGGACATGGTAGGACCCAGGCACATAACTGTCACGTTAGAGGAGAAACTGGCTGGGCAGGTTCCTGACCTGCCCAGGCCTCTGCACCCCAAGTCAGGGACCAGCCCCAACTGGGCAGGCAGAGCTCAGCCAACTGCTGCATGCAGCTCAGTCTTGATTACAGCAGGATGCCCACTGGGAGTCAGGCCTCCATTGTCATCAGGCTGGCTGGCCTGGAGAAGGCAGCTGAGAGGCTGTGAATCCTCCCAGCCTCCTAGGCTACCTCCCTGAGGGGGTGGGTGGAGCAAGGCTCCCAGGGAGGGCTCCCCTCCTGTCCTTACCCAACAGTCCTGGGAGCTAGCTGGAAAACCAGGCTGCACAGTGGGGA